ATCGCCGGTAGTTCCTGAATAAGATGTCTAATCCTAATATGTGGCATAAAATGTGGATTCGACAAGTGAGTTTTTCACAATAAAATAAGTAAGACCATCTCAGACAATTTCTATTCCTTTTCTTGTATAAAAATTTAATCGTCAGTACTATGAATAATGATTTACTGAAAATACTCACCACGGAACCCAGTAAGCGTGTGAAGGAGTCTAGTCTGCCCTTGAACTTAATTGAACCCGGCGCTATGTAACGAAATGGAAGGTGTCACTGCTTCATTTAGAGAGCTCAGTCTCGAATCTTGTTGAACCCGTTGATGAGAAACTGAAGTAGGTTAAGACTACAATCCACCATGAATGAGAGCATCTTGCTGGAGGCAAAAAGGGCCAACGCCAACGGTATATTGAGCCCTACTTATTTTGATATAAGAAATTTCAACTACGACTCTAACATAAATTTTTTTGGGTTAAGTTGAAGTTGAATGCCGACTAACCCATGAACCTATCGGATCGTTATACCTGCAGCCACTTAACATGTCGTGTCTTGACATTGCATGAATGCAAAAGGGAAATCGAGTAAAGTTGGTGATAGTCCATGCCCATTTGCATAACGCAGCAAGTAAAATAACTTGATCGTTTACACAATCGCAAACGAAATCTGGCTTACCAGAAGTTAGAAAAGTTGGTTTTTAAGGTGACCCTTAATAAGTGAATGCGAGTAGGCTTATCAATTCAAAGGAAAAATTGCCTTAATGGGATTCGTGAACTGACCCCACCTGAAACCGAAGGAGGAATGTCAACTTCTCCCTCAAAATAAAACGCTTATTCACAATATATTCAGCTACCATTCCGGACTTATCGTGTTTTGTAGGGTGATACTTAAAAATGACCTCTCGGTCTGATTGTTACTGTCAGGGCAGACATGAGATGCGATCGGACAAAAGTTCAGTACAAAATAATTAGTCTGAAGTTGCAACTAGGAATGCTATTCACAAATTGAGCATCACAACTTCAATTTCAGTGAGATCAACCTATACGGAAGTAGTCGACATTTAAACAATAAATAAGTCAAAATGCAAATATGTAGTGGCTTCTATTTTGGTTGCAATCTCCTTTAGATGCATATAAATGGTCAAATATAGTCTTTGAAACTTGGTCGTGTTGTCAGAGGGACCTAGTTGTAAGCACCTCATCTGAAGTCCCCTGCTGCAGAAATTATGATAATTCCCAAAGCTGGTCCTCTTCTGTTAGTCTCAGCTCCACACTACAGTTCGTCAAATAGACTTGATGATGCCAGCGAAATGTCTGTAACAGAGGACTTAGGAAAAGTTATCTCTTTGACGAGATGTAGCTTGGGGCTGAGAATGGCAAGATTCACTGACGATGCCGGCGAAACGCCTGAGAATGTACCAAGTCCACGGTCTAATGCAGTGAATGATTACTAATATACAATAAAACTTCAAAAAAGGTCGCCCTGAAAAATTGTGAAAAGAGGTCAAACCACTTCAATAGATTAGTCACCCTCGGTTTCATAAGGGAAGTTGAGGAATGGTTGTTAAATTCTTCCTACAATGCTGTGTTAGCTTTAAAACACAATAAAGTGAATGTAAATCTGTCTCTCAAATGTTCTCTCATCCGGGGTAGACTTGAATTTTGACATCGTCTGAATTGGTATGGGTTTATGCGCATCGTGACGAAGTTACCGCTCCACTACATAGCTACAGGTGCGACTGGGTCACAGGGCAGATTTGACACTCCAGGCACAGTTATGGCGGAATTTACGATTAAACAAGCATACATTTGCGGTTACAATCGGCAATGGAACTTATATTCAGTTTGAGTAGCGCACCTAAAAACTAAGTAGTATCGTTGATTTTAATAGTTTGTTTAATATACGTTTGATTTGTGAGAGGCCTAGCTTGTCTTGAATGTCCCGTCTGCCCCGTGACCAAATGGCCTTCTTACCTGTAAAGCTCAGTTGTGACGCCGCCATGATACCGGCTGGGAATGCTGATGAGGCCAGTTCAGACGTGGAAACAGAAATAGCATTCGGAAGGCAATGCTAAGTAAAATTCTGTGCCACCTTGAGGCAAGCAAACTTAATTATCAGTTATCTAGTCACTTTAAGCAGCATAGAATGACTAATTTCTTGTTCAAAAATGACTGATAGCCTCGAAACCTGCCCACGTGGAAAACAAATGTTAAGCAACCTGTAACTTGAAAAATTCTTGCAAACCCAACTTTATCATTGAAATTCTTTTCGGTTTTACTTTATATCTCTTGATAAGCATTTTTCCTACCCACGAGTATCTCTAAGGCACGTAAATTTTCAGTGACCCATATCACTGCAGGCCCTATTTTTCGTCTCATCTTGGAGTCTTTCCAAATAAGACATCTTCCAAGCACTACTCTCCTTTGTACAACTTAGGTTTTCAGGATTACTTACGATTATTAATTGCTCTTCCTTGCTCTTTTCATATCCTTCCAACCATTCTGGCCGTTGGATATATTTTCAATAATGAAGCTTCGAATTTATGTATAGGGTGTTTTTTCGTTATACAAACGTCATTAAGCTCTATATGAATGGAAAGGGGAAGCAACCCTCCGTAAATTGTCAGAAATTAAAGACCCCTCTGAATCGCAACTGCAAATGCCATGTCTCTTAATGACTTCGAAAATTGATTAAGACATAAACATATAGAATACTTTTAAAATTAGTACTGTTATTTTATGCGGTTCTGCGTATGGCAGAGCACTTTGCAAAAGCATGATAGGTGATTCATACCGGCCATCAGTTCACATTATCATACTTCAATAAAAATGTATAACCCATCACTGGAGCATGCATGCGTGTTTCAAGAAGACAGAGCAAGGATGTTAAGTATACAATCGAATATGACGGTGGCATGGCCGCTTGAAAGGACAATCTCACCGGAAATACGAACTGATTTGGGAACTCTAGATCGGGACTTGATTTCTGGCTTAGAGTCGGCAGGCCTGCTCTGTAGACAAGAGTGACGGCCCATCTCGGCGTAGTCACCTGGATATAGAAGACGGTAGAGGGGTATTTTCGCAGAACCAATAAAGCGACAAATTGGCTGTCTAAAAGTGAAAAATATGTTTAGTAATCTTATAACAGGGAGCGTAAATGTACATATAAATAGCCACATTTTCGCTGAAGAATATTTCTTAGATAAGGCTCTACCATTTCCCTTCTCCTTAGACTGCTTGTAAAGCAATGATGATTTCGTGGGCTAGAAAAGGATTTTTTATTATATGTCGAAAGTGTTCAAAGTCCCGACGACGATCATCCGCCAGTGATTCATTTATTTCCGTAACAAATCGGAAAGGAAATTAAAAAGTGCACATGCACCGTGTACTTTGACACAAGTTAGTTTAACTCCAAAGCAGGCCTAGTCACCCGTATTCTGGAGGTCAGATAGCAAAAGTTAAGGACTTGTCGGTTGAGGTCGTCTACATTTAGTAATCCAGCAAAAAGGAACAGTCCACTT